TAATTCTTCCGGAGAAGGCAAAAGTATTTCCCTCTCCGTTCTGTTTCGCCACCTGTCTGGAGTTCAGTCAAATGGCAAAACCCTGCTCTTTGGAAAAAGTGTCTCCTCAGCTACGTTTTTCAGGGGCATCCACTAATTTTATTAGCCTTTCTCTGAGTTCAAACTAATAACCTTTTTGTCTGACTTTCAGGAGCTGAAGAGATACACCTGAGCTGGAAGTCTAAAGACTCAGCATTTATTAGAATTAAATGAAAAATGCTTTATATTTCACTCCTATATGTGAACCCTTAAAAAAAAATCAGTCATGGTAACTGATAGGCACAACTGCGTTTTTCTCCTTTCCTCTGTATAATCCTGAGATTGTCATTATTGCTTGCTAAATATACACTATAATACGCCACTTAAAATTTTGCAGCGGTGGAGCGCGCTAAAAAGCTCACTCGTGCTATTTCTAGTCTGCAGCTGCAGTGCTTACAATTTGGCTTTCCGATTCTTCTCTGCTTGGTGGTCATCTTTCTGAATTTCTGATGCTTCTTCCTCCTTCTCTTGTCAGTTCTCACCTCACTCCCTCGGTGCGCTCTGTGCCATTCATGTCTTGCAATGATTGAGAGTACAGGGCTCTGGTTTCCAGAGCCTTGCGCTCTTTCTTGTAGAGCAATTCTTGTAATGGGCCAGTGGGAAGCTGGAGGTGATCTGATTTGAGTTACAGATGTGTTTTAAGCTGCAATAAAATGTGCAGGAAAGTGACAGTGATGTGGAAAATATTCCCTGCTCTTCCCTGCACATTGCACTTCCAGACAGTTTCACTTGCAGCGCCTCTAGGCACTGTGATTTGCGCTGCTTTATACTGCGCCCGGGAAGTTACGCTTTTTGTTGTGGATGCTGCCGTAAGTACTGATGGTAGCTGATTGCCATCTTTGGTAGGGGGGTCTACACAGATTTTGTGTTGGAAATACCCCTGGGGGAAAATGGGATAGTGTTTGTTGTGTTGTGTGTTAGTGCTGTAGAGATGGAGAAGACATCCGCCTGAGCTTGAAGGGACCATCTCGGACTTCAGGAAGGCACAAAGGAAGACTTGTGGGCTTGTCGGTGCCCTGAGTGCTCCTCTAAGAAAGTCTTAAACTGTAACTTGATACTCGCTGTTGTGACAAAAGCTTTACTTTAATTTTCTTATAGCTTTACTTTGAAACCTCCTAGTGAGTAGTATAAATATACGCATAAAACCAAATCAGTATCATTCCTTGCTCTGCATGATTATCTTCTTATGTTGGCTGTGTTACACGACAAACACTTCATATCCGGACAGACTGGAATATGTTGCTAAACCAGAGCATGGATGGAGAAAACCTGGGAGAAAGGAGTTTTGTAGAGGAGTGGTCTAGTGACTAGAGCAAGGTGTTGGGTTCTGTCCCTGGCCTGTCACTGCTTTACGGTGTGACTTTGGGCAAGTTGTCCAACCTCTTCCTGTCTTCAGCCTCCCCATTCTGAAATATGGTTAAAAATTAACATAAAAGAATGAGTTGGGACCTTTCATTTGAAGATGCTATAGAAGGTGAAAACTATTCCCTTGATGTTCCTTAGGAGAAACGGGCTCAGGGAAGACCACTCAGATCCCTCAGTACCTCTATGAAGCAGGAATTGGCCGCCAAGGCATCATTGCTGTTACCCAGCCTCGCAGAGTAGCAGCTATCTCCTTAGCTACCAGAGTCTCGGATGAGAAGAAGACAGAGCTGGGAAAACTGGTAGGTTGCTTTACAAAATCTTTAGAGAGTTGGTTTAGTACTGCAGTGCCAATGGGACTGTATCAGGGCTTAATGGGTAAGACAAAAAGCAGCCAGAGGGGTAATAGGTAGTCTTCATTTAATAATCATAGAATCATAGAATTGTTTAGGTTGGAAAAGACCTTTAAGATCATCAAGTCCAACCACTGAATATGCATGAGTAGAAAAAAATGGCTTTTTACCTGCTTCTGGGCTTGGGGGCAGGGGGCAAGTTTGACTCTGTGGTGTTTTACTTCTTGATTATTATCTGTGTTCATCCATTTGAAAAAATACTGGTTAATGAATAAAACAAAAAATATTGTGCTCTCTTCCATTGCTCCCTGTATCAAAAGTCACTGTCAAGGAGAGCAGAGTGCTGAATCTGTGCAGATCTGTGAATCTGTGTGAGAAAACTGGAGGAGAAAGACTTCCCCTATATAAAGTCTTTGGAGAGCATGGAGTAGTTTCTAGCAGGGGAGGAAGGAAAGGAAACTTGGAGCATTTGTGATGATCATCTACTTGGGAAGAAGCCAATTGGGATACAGTGTTGGGAGCTTCCTTTAGATGGATTATCTAACTGCCTACAGACTGTAAATACACTCTCTCCTTGGAATTCTAGTTGGCTCTGTCTGATGCATTGACTAGAGTGCTTTGTAGTCCTTCCTTGTGGTATGATGGCAATGAGAAATGCAGGTAACTTTGTGCTTGTGCTTTCTGTAATGATCACTTCCATAGGTTGGCTATACTGTACGCTTCGACGATCTTACATCTGATGAAACTAGAATCAAGTTTTTAACAGATGGAATGCTACTTCGCGAAGCTATTGGGGACCCTATGCTGCGGAAGTACAGTGTTGTCATCCTGGATGAAGCCCACGAGAGGACAATCCATACTGATGTACTCTTTGGAGTGGTGAAAGCTGCACAAAAGAAACGAAAGGAACTGGGCAAACAGCCACTAAAAGTATGTGCATCTAGGATGGTAGCAAAGGGCAGGGGTGGGGCTTGGACCCTGAGCACTATGAGTATCTCCTGGCGTTTTCCAGAGTGTTTGAAATTTCAGCCTTGACTATTTACCTGTTCCTAAAAAGCCCCTTTAAATCTGAATAGAACTTACGACATGTGGGCCTGATATGACACATCTGAACAAGGTATCTGGTCACCTCCATGTTGCTCTTTTTTCATAAGAGCCCCTCGGGTGTGAGCTATAGACTAGACACATTGTTTGGGGAGGGGTTGATACTGTTGCTGAGAGCACCCTGGATACAGGAGCTCTGTGATACCACAGCTGTATGACAGGCTCCCACTGGGGAAGGAGATTGCACGTGTGTGTCAGGTGCACAAGAATTTATGTGAGTACATGATGAAGTGTGTGAGAGCAGGTTGGTTTTGATGGGGAGGGCATGTCAGGGACTGGTAGGGTCCTAGCTCTGTGTCATTCAACAGACCATTGTACAGCCTAGCTTTGTGGGTATTCAGGTCTGTTTATTAAATGTCGGAAGAGAATTTTAACACGTCTTTGCTCATTTTATCATACCAACATGTTATGCTTGTGTGACACCAAACTGATGGCTTTGTCAAGGAAAGCCCACTCTCTTCTGTCCCAAACTGTGTGCTTTTTGCTGTTCTGAGCATATATCTCATTCTCAGGAAGCTGACTTTTGGCTAGTCCTGACTGGTAAGTGTCCTGCTGGGTCTAAACTGCGGTGCTAACCCATCTTATGCTCACATTGAAGGTGATCATCATGTCAGCCACGATGGATGTTGACCAGTTCTCCCAGTACTTCAGTGGAGCTCCTGTTCTCTATTTAGAGGGCCGGCAACATCCCATTCAGATCTTTTACACCAAACAGCCTCAGAGTGATTACCTCCAAGCAGCACTGGTGTCAGTCTTCCAAATCCACCAGGTATGGTGGTCTCGTCAGGTTTGTGCCTCTCCGGGGCCATGGATTGTTGGTCGGGGGGGCTCACAGGTTGCTGTGGCAGAGGACATGGCTTGAGCTTGATGCTGCTAAAGCAGAGACGTCCCTGAGGTGCTCCACTGCATCCTCTGGGAAAGGCAGATAGTTGGGGAGCGTGATGGGTTAGTGGGTTGGACTGGCTCAAGGGAGGGGTTGACAAATGCCAACGTTATTCCAACAGTGGAAAGAAAGATTGGAAGTGGTCAACCGTAAAGAGCCTTGGCTTGTGGTGGGAAATCCAGGCATAAGCTAACAGTAGCGTGAAGGTGATTCTAATTTACTGGCAAAGTGTAACCGCAGAGCAAGTAGAGATCAATTACAATAACAGCTCATAGGCATTTTGTGACTAAATGTTTGAATGCAAAACTGCCAGATGGTTAAATCATTTCATTAAACTGTTTATTACCTTGCGTTTAATGCTTCGAAGATGCTGCTGCTGTTAGGATTTTGGGACTTGTACGTCAAGGCTGGAGTTGAAAGGAGACTGCTAAACAAAGATCTCTGATGTCCCAGATGCTCCTCTCGCCTGAGTTTTCCGTGTTTACTGGCTTCTACTTGGGTGCTTGCTGGCTCTCTTGTTTGCATGTCCTGGACAGTTATTTAATGAAATAGACATGTGACTTTAAATGATCCTGTTAGACTCAGTCCTGCAAAATGCAGTTTACCCTTCATCTCTGGTGAATCCATTGGGAACTTCAGGCTGTTGCATATGTTGCACAGCGTGTGTGTCTTTTCTTTCTTCCTTACCTGCTTTGCTGACCTGCTGTCAGGACAACATCTCATTACAATCTCGGTTCTCCCTCCCTGGCCAAACTATCTTAACTTCTCACTTGTTTTTTCCTCTGGCTTCAGGAAGCACCCTCTTCTCAGGACATCTTGGTGTTTCTGACTGGTCAGGAAGAAATTGAAGCAATGACCAAAACCTGTCGAGACATTGCCAAGCACCTCCCTGATGGCTGCCCACAGATGGTGGTGATGCCTCTTTATGCTTCTCTGCCCTACTCTCAACAACTCCGCGTCTTTCAGGCTGCCCCCAAGGTGAGGCAATACGATAGGTAAACAGGATGAGTTTGTCTGTTTGCTTGCATGAGTGTTTGGAAGAAATGTGGAATTTAAGGAGTTAAAGCGGTCTGTAAGTAATAGTCTCCGCTGTCTACTGACTTTAGGCTGAATGGTTCCAGTGCAATATAAGACAGCGCAACTGGGATGGTATTAACAGATACACACAATAAGTCATCTGGGATCATATAAAGAAGGAAGGATTAGGGGGAGTGAAAAGGGCAGAGGAATTGAAATTTGCCCGATTTCATAGGAATTTTATGTCCATATCACAAAAAAGCTACAGCAGTTAATGGGCCAGCCAAATCCTAAGAAAGCTAAAAACCTGGGCATATTTGGCAGGGCCACAAGAAAAGGCAACTCTGCTGCCTCAGGCCCTTTTGTACCTATCCAGCAGATAAACAAGAATTCAGGTGTTGTGCTTGTGCCAGAAATGAAATCAAAATGGTTTGAAGACATATTGATAACAGCTGTCCTGGGTGGTGTATTTTGTTGCAAGAAGTGTAAGCACATGCTTTCAAAACTGATTAGGAACTAGAAACTACCTTAATTTACAAGAGCTGGCATAGCAAGCATGGTATGTGGTCATAGCATGCTGCAGCGATACGTAGGCTTGGCCCATGCTGGCCAAAAGTAGTAGCGTTTCTTCACTGCAGCTAATCTAAAACAGCTTTTGACTGGCTTTAGTTTGTTCTTCCTTCCAGGGCTGTCGCAAAGTGATACTCTCCACCAACATCGCGGAAACCTCCATTACCATTGCAGGAATAAAATATGTTGTGGACACAGGCATGGTCAAAGCAAAGAAATACAGCCCTGGTGAGGAATTCTAAGGAACGATGCAGAGATTGTTTTCAGTTTTGTAGAAGTTATTTGAGGCAATGAGCCCCACTGACAGCTGATTTAAAACGCCCTCTGCACTGTCTAAATTAATGTCCTAGGCTTTAGGTGTGGCTTTGGGGTTTTTTTTTTTGAGTACCAGCAATGCAGGGGTAAAAATCTGTCAAACAATTCTTCTCTTCATGAACACAGTGCATGGTAATTACCTTTGCTTGGGGGTGCTAAACCAAGTGAAGTCTGAGCAGTATTTGGATGGCAGACCCTGGGATTTTTTTGTTGTTAATCCTACAGAGTGATGTTTTTCAAAGCTGTGTGTTACGCAGACATTGACTGAAGTGATGCTTTTCCATACATAGAAATTGGTCTGGAAGTGTTGGCGGTCCAGCGGGTGTCAAAGGCCCAGGCTTGGCAACGAACAGGGAGAGCAGGGCGAGAGGACAGTGGGATCTGTTACCGGCTCTACACAGAGGATGAGTTTGAGAAGTTTGACAAAATGACAATACCCGAGATACAGAGGTGAGAAAAGAACCCTGATACCGTCACACTTCTTGCCACGCCTCTTTTACAGATGGAGCTGTGTAAAGAACCAAACAGCAAAACTGGATCTAGGGTCTGACCAGTTGACTTTTAAGAAAAATGAACTCTGGAGACTAAACAGAAAAACTAGGAAGCATTTGCTCAGGGTGGACATTTGGGCTCTAAGCCTCCAAACACGCATGGGCAATAGTTCTCTTGACTTTCCTCCAAATCTTGGACTTGCCTCCTACCCGTTGTGGTTTAGGAAGTAAGGCTTCACCAGCCAGCATTGGACTAGTCTCTGTCAAGTTGCAGCACAGACCTGAGGACTCCATCTCAGCTTACAGGCAAAGAAAAGAAAAGAAAAAAAGAAGAGAACAAGCTCAGTTGTTTTCTTCTGCCTTTGCAGGTGTAATCTGGCCAGTGTGATGCTTCAGCTCCTGGCCCTGAGAATTCCCAATGTGCTCACCTTTGACTTCATGTCCAAACCGTCTCCTGGTAAGTGGTTACAAAGGCAGCCTTGGAAAAAATTGACAAATGAGTCACTAAGGAGTTGCTTAAAATAAGGCCTTCAGGCCAGCTGGGGAAGACAGAGTATGGAAGGTCAGGGCTGTGAAAGGGGAGCTGTCTCTGCTGCATTTCTCGTTGTGGTCCATAAGTCTCAGACTCATTCACTGCTCATTGCTTTTGCTCAGCCTCATCAGAGCAGCCATTGTTACAGCAGACAGCTGGGGAGTCCATCTTCCAAACAGAGCAGGGAGCAGTTTTGGGTCATAAAGAACATGAAGGTGGGCCTTAACTGCCAAGGAAAGCCATAGAGAATCTCATGTGGCTTCTGCGCAAACCCAGAGATGGCAGCTTTAGTTTTGCCTCTGGTTTTGCTACTTAAATTGGAAAAGGTGATTGTTCTACTGGATAGAGGGGGATAAACCACGGCTTGGGGCACTAATTTCTCTAAACGGGAAGTACTTGTTCCTCTGGCCTAAGGAAAGAGGTAGTGATGGTACCAGCTGATCCTTCACATCCCTGCCAGTGTCAGCCAGGAGGCCTCACAGCCCGAACCTTCTTGTTTTGACAGAGGCTGTTCAAGCAGCGATTGAACAGCTGGACCTGCTGGGAGCTGTGGAACGAAAGGAAGATCAGCTTGTCCTAACCCCCCTGGGGAGGAAGATGGCAGCCTTTCCACTAGAACCAAAGTTCTCTAAAGTAAAAACTACAGAAAAATTAGCTAATTTTTATCTCATGTACTCTTCCCAGTACCACTGGCATTTCTCTTTCAAACTCCTTAAACAAGGTCTGGAATTTGGGGCAACTGCAGCTGTACTAGTGTATCTGCACTATGTTAATGAAGCAAAGCTTTATTTCTAGCAGCTGTGCTGGTTTGCTTGTCACTTGCTGTTTAATTCAGGGAGATTTTTTTAAAAGATAATTTCTTTCCTCTGGCATCTCTGAAGCTGAAACAAGGCTAATTCCCTTGCAATTTCTGGGATTGTGGGCAGCACTGTTTAGCAGTTTCATGAAGTGTCTGATGTTGTAGTTGATTTTAGTTGCCATGTTTGTACTGTATACGAACTGGGCAGTCCTAGGAAAGAGCATGACATTTGCTGTTAAAGGTGCTTGGTGGGCCCATACGAGGATTTACAGTTGTCTCTAGGCCCAGATGTCTATGACATTGTCCTAAACAATGCTTGGTAAAGTTCCCAGGCTGCCGGTGAGCAGAAAAGTCTGTCCATCTGAAGTGGATTTGGGCGACCAAAAATCAGTTTTCTTCTGTGATTTGCAGACCATCCTCCTGTCCCCCAAGTTCCACTGTACAGAAGAGATCCTGACCATCGTGTCGCTGTTATCAGTGGACAGTGTCCTCTACAATCCTCCGGCCCGGCGGGATGAAGTGCAATCTGTCAGGAAGAAATTCATCTCCAGTGAGGGGGATCATCTTACGCTACTTAGTGTGTACAGGGCCTTCAAAAATGTCAGTGGCAACAAGGTAGGGTGCTCTGAGGATGCCAGTGCTGTCTGGGCTCATGGTGGTGAGGAGCTTTTCTGGCATACAGCAGAGTGACATCTGCATCCTTCATGGCTGATGCAGTATGCATCCTTCCAAAGCAATGAGAAGAGAGGACTTACTCATTCTTTACAATTGGGTAACTGGAGAAAGCTGTTCGAGTGCCGAAGGTACCCCCAGAAGGCTGGAACAAAACATTATCAAAAGCTTCATGAGGCCAGTTCTGTAATCGGAGTTGGTCTCTTCCTTCCCTCGTTCCAGCTGGAAACAGGAGGGAGTGGGAGAGTGTTGAGACTTGCTGATAAATACCCTAGACATGCTGTTTGGCAGGATTCGTTACAAAAACACTGAGCATATTTACAAGCAGATTTTTACCCTACAAACGCCTCAGTTTGTTTTGTAGATCTGTAGACTCGTGTACCCCGTTCCTTGCAGCATCTGTCATTCTTACGTAATTTGTTTTCACTACCTGTGGGATAGCAGGTGCTGTTTTGCAGCACTAGGTGACCTTGCAGAGCAATTCTGAGTGGGAAGAGAACAACAACATGCCGTTTCTTGGCACTGTGGGAGGGAATGTAGACAGAGGGGAGTAATCGGGGTAAAAATATGACAAGGAAATGGGTTAGCACCTTTTCTCTAAGAAAGATTGTTTGGCGGATTCTGCTTTTCATGGTATGCAAAGACCGTTGTGCTTCTTGGGTGAAGAAACGGGCCCGCCTAACTCCTGGTGTCTGTGCTGCAGGAATGGTGCAAAGAGAACTTCGTCAACAGCAGGAACATGATGCTTGTGTCAGATGTCAGAGCTCAGCTCAGGGACATTTGCGTAAAGGTAACTTGTTGCCATACTGTATTTCTCTGTTTCACCTGTTTGTACTTTTCTGTTTGTCCCCAAACTGATTTCGCTGTGCACCAAGTCCCAGGAGTGAGAAAACGTGGTTTTGTTTTCAGTCTCCCATGAATAGTCAGGTAAAGTTCCTGACTTTGCAGCTGCATCCCAAAATCTCAGAGCTGCAGGGCTCAGTGGGTCGAGGAGAGGTGAAGAGAGAAGGGGAGCTCTGGGAAGGCTTCTCAGGTAGAGGACAGTTTTTTCCTAAGGGATTTCGCTGCCCTAGTGTAGATGTGACTGTGCTATGCGTGCCACTGAGCGATGTCAGCCTCAGCAGCCTGTGCTGGCTGGCTTCTTCACAGAGTCAGGCATTCAATTTAACAGCAGCTTTCACATCAGTACTGTTCCTGCCAGTCACAGAGCGTAAGGCGCAGTGTGGGAGCTGCTGCTGAATTGCTTGAAGTCTGTACGTGACACGGGAGCCACTGTTTGGCACCCCTGTCCCGCTGTGAATGCTAGTTGGCCTAAAACTCGCTCCCAGAACGAGAGTCTCGATCCTTTTTGTGGCTCACCTTTCGTTTGCTATTAGTCTGGATTAGCTTAACATCTGCCTGAGCTGAATTCCTAGCGGTCCTTTTATATTTCCCATGCTAGCAGGATTTCTGACACAATATTGCCTGATCTTGGAAGCCCACTAAAATGGGGCTGCGTTTCCCCACGAGGGTGCACTTACAAGCTTGCTTACCCTTGTGTCTCGTTGCTGAACAGCTATCGATGCCAATCGAGTCCTCCCGCTCAGACACTGGAAACATCCGCCGCTGCCTGGCTCACAGCCTCTTCATGAATGCGGCGGAGCTGCAGCCGGACGGCACCTACAGCACCGTGGACTCTCACCAGTTGGTGGCCATCCACCCCTCCTCCGTGCTCTTCCACTGCAAGCCAGCCTGCGTGGTTTACAACGGGCTGCTTCACACCAACAAGTGCTACATGCGGGACCTGTGCGTGGTGGATGCGGACTGGCTCTACGACGCAGCGCCTGACTATTTCCGCAGGAAGCTCCGAACGGCCAAGAACTGACCTGTGGGTCTGGGACCAACAGGTCCAGGGTTTTTAGGCTCACCCTAAAAGACTATTTTTTGTTTTGTAGTGAGTGTACGGGAGCAGTAGAGCTTTGTCTTGCAAATCAGGTAAAAAACTTAGAGGAAAATGGCCTCTCCATGAGAGCCAGACCTCACAGGTCTCCGTGGCTTAGAACAATCATCCTTTTTAACAGTTAATCTGTAAAAAGGGAAGGTAGTATGTACTCTGTGCACGTGTGTGTGTATGTGTGTGTGGTAAATCTATACCGGGGGGGGAAAGGGGAGCTGGTATCAGATTCCAGTTTTTAACACTTACTGAAGTTTAACAGGCCCATGTATGAGGAAATGAAATCCTAAGAGCTCTTCTGAGCAGACTTGGTATTTTTGATGATTGTGCTTGTATCTTTAGCAGGTTTTATTAGGGGGGGAAAAAAGGAGAAAAAAGTTTTAAATGTCTACATACAGGGGAAAAAAAAAAAAGCCTTTTTTCTACTATTTCTAGAAGGGAGGTGCTACTGTCTTTTACCTCATCAAACATCTTTCTGCTTGCATGTCATGTTCACCATCTTATTTGGGACCATGTGAAGGCCAGTAGTGGGAATGCCTGCTTGGACAAGGTCTTCGCTGCTTGTGTCTAAGCCTCAGGGGCTGGCAGTGGTTTCTTGGAGAGGTTGTCCTGCTGCCTGCGTGTTTGGCATCATCTTTGTTCGCCCTTTTGCTATTAGGGCATCTTGTTCCTCAGCAAACACTTCTGGCTTTTCTGACTCTTGTCCGTGCACTTCTAGCTTTGGAGTTGGCACACCATCCACAACAGCTAATCAGGCCAACTTGAGGAAGACTCAGCAAAATGAGAATGAAAATGCGGTTTAGAGATTGGACATCCTTTAAAGGTCCTTGATTCATTAAAAGTTTGCGTCTTCTGCTCTGACACCAGTGCTTCTTCCCCCTTCTGCCTCCCCCAACCATGTCCCAGTTATACTTTGGTTTTCCATTAGAAGTTTGGAGCTTGACATTGTCAAAAACAGAGATCTACCATTAGTATCTATTATTTGGTTTTTTCCTGCCATATTCCCTTGGCATCTACCTATCTCTTTTTTTCGTGTTGGAGAAAAGTGGCAATACCAGACTTAATTGTGTTTTTAAATACTGGAATTAAGAAACTAGTGCCACTCCAAAGGGAAAACTTGTTCTTTAATGTGAAGGAAAGTGGATTTATTCCATTATCACTGTGTGTTGGTGGGGGGAAAAATGTAAGTTGTTTTTAAGTGATATCCTAAGTACTTCTAAAATAACCTCTCTGGGAGAGGTAACTTCCAGTTTCAACAGAGTCTGTTGACATAGTGTAGTAATTTATACAGATTTTTGCATGAGTTGAACAAAAGCAGGTTAGGTGTCTGAACGGGTGGGAGAGGAAGCTGTTCCACACACGCAGTGTCATTGTGTAATGTGGTGGGGTTGGTGTATGTGGGCTGTGATGAGATTGTGGTGTTTAGTCCTTGTACCCTTCAAATGGCAACTTTAAAAAAAAAAAAGCATATGTTAGTAGGGCTGCTCAGGGATGCAGTCATATGGGCTATTGGCAAGCCCTTATTCACTCCATTTGCTCAGGGAAAGCTCCTGGCTTTCCTTGTGATCCATGGGCACAAGCTGCATTTGCCATGTAGTAATTTGTCCTTTCTGGTTACACAACACATTGTAATATGCCTTTTCTTTGGGCTCCAGTATTGGCTTACCTTGGTTTTCTCTTTGAAAACTGGGGCAAATGCCTCTTTTGTTCTTTTTTCTTGCATTTTTTTTTTTTTTAAACTGGAATGGCACTTGTGCTGATCTGCAAATTGCTGTCTCCCAAAGAGTGTATGTAGGTACCCGGCATACCTGGAATGGTCTCATCTCTCAGCCTGTTCCTAGGAAGGGCGATACTGAATGTCTGCAGGGGTGCGGTGGAAACGGACGCACATCCCTCTGTTGTGCCTCTTTGCAGTATTGTTCCTTGGTGGTTTGAAAAAAAGAAGAAAAAAAAAAAATGGTGAGTTGGGGCACAGGCAAAACTTGACACTTTTGTATGTATGACCAGCTGCAGTTTTGGATTGGTATTTCAGGAGCATGCAGCTATTTCAGTTGTTCTCACTCACACAAATTGCAGGGAATTAGCAAAGCGCTGTATCTATTTCTTGATTTTACAGACTGCATCTGTGGGGAAAAATGGAGCATAAGCACATTTTGTTTGGGCAGTCTAATTTAACAGTCTGTTTAAGAGAGGGGATGGGTGTTTATTGTATTTATATACTAATTAATACTAATTTGTATGTTTTTCCCAAAATAAAGAAGTGATGGCGAAAATCCAAGTCCTGGGTGTTGTTTTGTGAGACAGGAAAGCTGATCATGGGACATCCAGGTACGAGTCCCAGAGTTTTCACTTCTTGTGGGAGTGTCTTCATTTTAAGCAGTCTGGGGTGTCTGTGTCCAGATGTTAGAAGATGTTGAGGTGGGTCAGTGAACCTGTGCTTCGCATGCAGAACAGACCCTGTTGTTACGTGTGCAGTGCTCAAACACCAGCGTCAAGCTGGGAGTAAAAATCCTGGTCCCTTGCTGCGGTGGGGTGCTACGGGTGCGGTGGGGTGCTACGGGTGCGGTGGGGTGCTACGGGTGCGGTGGGTGCTACGGATGCGGTGGGGTGCTATTGATGCAGTGGGGTGCTATTGATGTGATGGGGTGCTACCGACGCTCTCCTGTTACAGCCCTGCGGTGAGCAGCAATGGGCCTTTAGTGCTTCTACTCAACAGGGAGCAACGGTGCCAGCTTTTAGACAAAGGGAACGCTTGATGCCAGGAAACAGTTTGCCTCGGACAGTCTTCCCTCTACAATGTTTATCGCTAAAGGATAAAAAAA